TGTTTGTAGCCCTGTAGCAAATAATAATAATAATAATAATAAATAATATTAAATAAATAACTTTTAAGAGATTTTTAAAAATAAAGTAATATATGTCATTTTAATGTACTATTAAGGATGAATGCCCAGGATTGTCTGAAAACATTGTGAAAAGCATTCTGAGACCAGCAGATGGTGTAACAGTAATGTCGCTGGACTCCCACATGACCAACCACAGGTTCAAGTCCCAGATCAATAGTTTCAATAGCAGTTGTGTATGCCTCTGTGCCCAAGATCCCATGGAGAAAATGGAGGAGACAGGATTGAGGTGTGGCCATCACCTGCCACTGGGGAGGGGGGGGAGATTTCTCAATTTCTATTTCTCTGTTACTCTCTGTCTTCCCCCTACACTTATATGTAAGGCTATTTTTTTAACATAGGCTTCAACAAAAAGAACAGATTAAATACTTAAGTAGATATGAAAATCTAGGGGTCATCTACTGAGACAAAGACCTCCAAAAATGTAAAAAGCTCCATTCTTCTGACTATACTGTCTTATTTTGGAAAATAATTATTTCTCATTAATATAGTTTCTGTTGGGACCAGCAGTTAGCGTAATGGCTATGTCGCTGGACTCCCACGTAGTCGACCTTGGTTTGAGTCCCGGACCTGGTGGCTTAAACTCACGCCAGGCGTGTATACGTGCATGCCCAAGATCCCGAGAGGAGAATGGAGGAGAAGGGATTGTGGCGTGACCATCCCCCCTGGGGGGTGATTTCTGACCTTCTATCTCTCTGCCTCTCTCTGTCTTTCTGGCTAGCACACGCGCCCTGTAGGAAAAACCTCTCCAAAAAAAACCAAAAAAGTTTCTGTTAACATGCCCATGTTTATTTAGGGTCATTAATACTGTAAATAAATTAAATATTTTAAGTGGTTTTAATTTCCAATATGCTAAATATTGATAGATATACCCGTATAAGCAAAATTGCCTTTGGAGTCCTCATTAATTCCTAGAAGCATATAAGATCCTGAAACCCAAACGTCTGAGAACTGCTGACTTCACAGCTTCTGTCCAGGCCTCAGGGGGACAAGGTGACAAAGGGTTCAGTGCACTACGAAAAGAATCAGGGCACAGTGTAGGGTCTCAGTACCAAGGGTGGAGTCTGGGGCAGGGAAGCCCAGTAGTGAGGAGTCCCCCTTCTCCCTGAGTTTCTCTTCTCCCTTTCCCATCCCGGGTCGGGTCCTTCTGCCCGGACACTCCTGATGCGGCCCCAGCTCTCACTCCCATTGGGCACCCTGTTCTCACAGGAGCCAATCAGCGTGATCGCGGCTCCTGGTTATAAACTCCCCAGGAACCAGCAGGGGCTCAGATCGCCCCGGACTCTGAGGATGGCGGTCATGGCGCCCCGAACCCTCCTCCTGGTGCTCTCGGGGCTCCTGGCCCTGACCGAGACCTGGGCGGGTGAGTGGAGATCGAGGCCGGGGGAAACCGGAGTCACGGGAGGAGCGAGGGGACCGCCCGGCGGGGGCGGGGGGGCCGG